AAGTATATGGGCCACCTGTAGATTTGCCTTTTGTAGAAAACGGTCAAATCTGAACTAAAATCATTGTTAGGCGTCTATTACCAAGGTTATTAGATCTTTCTTTCAAGGTATGTATGTGTAAGTTAAATCCAAGTGAATGATATTCTCCATTTACGTTTTTTGTCGTTCCACTAAGCATTGTTCTTTTTAGCGTTGCAAGTAGCCGTTATCAGAGACCAATGTGGACAGCTGTGAATCTCAAAATTATTTCATACTGAAATCACTCGTAGCTAGCTGGAAACAGTGCTCTACCGCAAATCCAATCCCTACACCCTGCACTATGAGACTTGGACTATGCAGAAATTATTTCTTAACACAGTTCTAATTTACTTCTGTCTATAAATCGAATAAATTATTTCTACTGATATACGTAAGTAGCAAAAATACTGTCATCAAGTAATTGCATTAGTTTTTAGGGTATCGTAGTAAAAAGTAGTAATTGTCTTTTCAAGTACGCACATCAGAAATTTACTTTAAAATTTTCTGAGATGATTTTGTTAGGTTGCTTTGCTTGCTTTGCACATTAAGGCCAATGTTTACATTGTAAAGAGGGATGCGTGTAAAAATTCTCGAACGGAATATGCAACTGTTTATTTTTGTATGGAGACATTTGTAACCCCACGAAATGGCCAATTAATAATGAAATATTTGATCTGGTGAAAGAATATTTGAATTCTTCAAGTATTCGGTACAGTAAAAAAGTTGCATCGCTATAAATAGGAACTGATATGAGTGAAATTTGCAAATTTTCACCGGATATATTAAGTTATCGCCAATCAAATGTCAAAAATAATATGTTTAACATACTGAAATTATAATTTTAAATACATCTTATTAACTTGGTGATCGACAAATTACTTCTGTAAAGGTTCGAGATGTTTTGAAAGTTGAGAAATGAATTGAGCATTGGTATTAGAGTAAGTTAGATAAATTTAACAACCAAGTTAACTGAATGCAAACATAAAATTAATTATTTAGATGCATATGCACATTCACAGACTTGAGCTATCACATACATAACAGATGTAATTTTATTATATTAGGTTTCTGTAAACTGCTTAAATATTGTAGAAAATCAAATATTTTGGATCAAAATATTTAATATTATCCTTCGTGTAGACTGTGTGGTGGGTGTACAATCAGTACTTTTGTACTTAATTATTCATACTATTCAGTGACATGTTTCATATCTGTTCTTCATAAAATATTCACTTGTTTGACACACTGTTCGAGCATCAACTTCACAGCACCACCCGAACTCCATCCAAATGGTGAGATTTGTGCAGCCTTCATCATTTTCCGTAAAGATATTGAAAACATGATGCAATGCAAAATGCAATCAAGGCGACGTTGAAAATATACTATTTTGATTCTGGAAATATGATTAATAATCAGGTTCCATAACAAGTGAATTTTCAGTGGAGGGACAGAACTGCTGCCTGTGCTTATCCATACCGCTGCTACCAGGTTCTGATAATTTTAACTTTTTGGTGGCAAAATATGTATCTTCAGTGTTTCACAGTGCTTATTCATCACCGCTGCTATCAGGTTTAGTAATTACTTATAATATATATGATTGTTCTGGTGTGTAATGCTCATCCGATTTTTACTGTCGTCTTTCTCAAATTGACGTTGAATTAATGCAGTTCTGCACAAGAAAGCGTGGATTTCTCAGATGCTGATAATAGATAAAAGAACTTGAGCTTAAACTCTAGGTCTACTGTGAATTGAGAATCACAAGTTTTACTTCCTTCCTACCTTGGAAAAAATGCATTACTCAGAAGAAGGCGTACAATGAAGGCTGGACTTGACAATGCAGCAAAATATTTTCGATAATATAACAACACCATCACATTCGGAAAGATTTTTAATGTATTAAAACAACACCATCAAATATCCACAAGTTCAATAAAAATCACAAAAACTAAACGGAACTGTTTCCCATATAATTAATAAATGCATATGACAAACACCCTCAACCTAATGTAAGTTAAGTAACTCAGTGAAGTAATGCGAATAATAAATCGAATGACCAAGCACTTAATTAACAAGTGAACTGACGCTAAATAATTGAATAAATAAAAAATAATGAAAATGAACCAAATGCAAAAACTTCACATTTATAATGGTAAGTACTTCATCTGATATCAAACATTTGAATCTAGATGTGAATCGCATATTAAAAGGCAAGACATAACAAAATTCTTCCAAATGCTCCATCCAGTGAAGGCAAAAAAACTATTAGTTTACACGACGAACCCTTCAAGCCTTTATAGCTGCTTTCAGTGGTTCTGATCTAACATTTGGGTAAAATCTGGGTTCGGGAGCTCCAAGATCACCTACATACTGCTCCTGATCGAACCGATTAAGACCGCATGGTCGACGCCATTCTTGACCTCGTTCATGAATCCACTTGTTCGTGACCCACTTCACACCAGTTAACACAGGACATGCAGCATGCCTTGAACGCACATCTACCTCACCGCTTCGCATTAAATTGTACCAAAACAGCGCTGCGTTCTACAGAATAATATTTCAAAGAAATATCTACAAAGGTTTGTTCTTCATGAGGCTGATAGTCACATAAGAAAGAAACGAAGCTAAACATGTCAGACATTTATTTCAAGTTCTTTTTTGGTACTGATAGTAGGATGGTACTCCGAAGAATAAGCAATAACTTACTTTAGTACATGGTACTGAAGTTTTAACATCAGTAAACACTGTTCTGCCACCGATTTCTGGTTCTGTCATCTGAAAAACAATCATATATGCATAAATATGCTGATATTCATATAATTACTGACATATGTTATTACTGATATGGTTACTGTTTATGAAGCAAGAAATTCTCCCAATAAAAAAGAACGAGAAAACAAACATATATCAGAACTGTGGCTATTCGGTTTCCTGTTTCTAAATCTTTGAAAGCGTTTGTTTCTTCTTTCTGAAAATTAATTGCTTAAA